AAAAAACATCTAAAAAGTGATATTTTTGATTTTCCTGAAGTTGAATCATTTAAATTTCCCCCAAAATGACGGTCTTCTAATCAGAATCGTCTTGTGATGTATTACAGGATGTCATCAGCATACGGCCTGAGTTATTGATGGACTTTCATTGACAAAGATCAAAAGATTCTCCTTCTAACTCTCTTCATTTCGCTTTAATATAAATGTGAAAATGTGTTTGTTGTTCAAGAAATAATATTCCTTGGAGACAAGTTGTCTGCTGAAGGCAAAGAACCAGATGACAGGAAAATAAAAGCTATCCTTAGCATTCCACGCCCCACAGACAAGGTAGGGATACTCAGAGTAATGGGAATGATCATTTTTATTGGCAAGTTCATGGTCAACTTATCAGTGAGGACATCAGCACTGAGGGAACTACTCCATGATTACAGAGTTCAAGTGAACAGCGAAAAATGAGCAAGAATGGAATGCTCTAAAGACAACACTGACCAATTCCCCCGTGCTTGCTGATTATGATCCCACTAAGAGACAGAAGATTTCAACAGATGTGTCAAATGATGGTCTTGGAGCTGTCCTGCTGCAGGCAGAAGGAGATAGCTGGAAGCCAGTTGCTTACGCTTTGAGATAGATGACAAAAACTGAATCTAAATACGCTCAAATAGAGAAAGAGTGCCTTGGAACAGCCTATGGACTAGAAATATTTCAAAGTGTGGCAAGTAGACTGTAATTGAGAGACAATAGAATTGTCATTCCACACAGCCTTAGGCCAGAGATACTGAGACGGCTACACGAGGGACGCCTTGGAATAGAGAAGTGTAAAAGAAGATCCAGAAGCACTGAATACTGGTCTGGCATTAATAAGGACATTGCAAACATGGTAGGAACGTGTGAAAGATGCAACAAGTACCAAAGCAAACAGGCAAGAGAACCCATGATGATTCCAGATCTTCCCAGTGCACCATGGGAGAAAGTTGGAACTGACTTGTTTCATTGCAATGGCAAGAACTATTTGCTAGTAATTGATTACTCTTCAAACTTGTCAAACTGAAATTGCTCTGCTCTTCAGCACCTCTGCCAATCTGTCAAGTCTGTATTTGACTGATACAAAGACTGTAGTTAGTGACAGTGGTCCTTGGTACAACTGCAGAGAGTGGCAGCAGTTTGCAAATCAATATGGTTTCCATCATGTAACATCCAGTCCTCAGCATGCACAGGCAAATGGCAAAGCTGAAAAGGGAGAGCACATTATCAAACAGATTCTGAAAAAGACCACAGACAGCAAGTCAAATCCTTACTCAGCTCTTCTAAGCTACAGAACTGGCCCGGTTGAATGTGGTTTATGCCCAGCTGAACTGTTAATGAATCGCAAGTTATACACAATCCTACCCTGTTACACAGACATCAAACAGAAAACAGGGATACAGACAAAACTGGAGAACATGAAATGGAAGCAGAAACAACGCTATGATGAATCAAATCAAACTCTCAGTCCACTTGGTAAAGTAATGATGGGGTAAGAATCCAAGACCAGGATGCGTGGAACCGAAAAGCGAAGGTTCTTCAGTAAGTTGGACCAAGATCCTATGAAGTGAGGACTGAGGAAGGACATGTGCTCAGAAGGAACCACCGTAGCCTTCTAAGAACAAGAGAGACTTTCACAGAGACCGAACACGAACTTGATAGAAAGTA